GGCGATCACATTGAAACCCAGAAATGTCCACAAAACCTTCCATGAATCTCATGATGTGTAACCATCAAACACCCTAATGGCCCTTATTCACCGGCTTCTGAAAAACCCTAACCACCGGCATCCCATCACCTTCCGAACCTTTCACCCTCCACGACCGATCTTTCTTCCTCTGGGGCTTCTTATGCTGCTTATGAGGAGCACGTGACGGTTTTGCCCTCACACTGCCAATCCCAACAGAAGCTAATAATCCATTATCAATATCGAAAGAGTTCAAATCACTCAGCACGTGCTCCAATTCCGGCCCATCACCCCCACCAACCGAAACCTCTTCACCATCATCATCATCATAATCATCTTCATCAGACGGCTCCAATCCATCTTCATCCTCGTCATCATCACCATCACCATCACCACCCGACACGCCAGGTGGCAGCTGAAAGTGCTGCAGCTTGCCATCAATATAATCCTTCAGAATCTGACGAGCTGCTCTCGTCTCATCTGGGAGCCCAGCAGACGCCACATATCCACGGGAGGCACAATATGCTCTCAGAAGCTCGACTGCCAGAGGCGCCCGGTTTTGGGCCTCGTATGGTTTGGGCTTCGGCAAAGATATTTTGTACACGGCCTCGATAACGGGCCTCGGGACCCGGTTCGCAACCACTTGCACGGCCTCACGATGCTCCGTCATGCGGTCAATGGGCAAAACCCCAGAGGCCACCATTTCGTACCTCGAGCTGGTAAAAGACGGGAAAACCAATCCTGGGCAGTCACACAGAGTGAGTTTTTCGGATATTATTAGGGTTTGGAAGTGTTTGGTCTTTCCAGGAGTTGAGGTCACGCCTGTACGCTTTTCGCCGACTAAGGCGTTGATTGTCGAGCTCTTGCCCACGTTTGGATACCCGACGAAACCGATAATCACGTTTCGGGCCGGGCCCGTAATGCTATCGGGCTTAGACTCAGTGCGCATGGAAACTATCTCCTCAGCTTCTGATTGGAGGCGTGCGAGTAACTCGTCCCTGTTGTGTATTTTAGTGTCGGTATTGGCTGTGTCACTGTGGCTGTCGGGAGATGGGTCGAGGCTTTTCCCTTGTAATATGGCGGTTGCAGCTTTGGCCGACCAGAAAACGAAGAGAATCTTGTTACGGCGGAAGTATTTGGCCCATTGGTCTCTGTAGATTATTTCGTGTTTTGGGATTGTTTTGGGATTCTGTTATATGATATGAAAAATTCAAGAAAATGAGGAGGATGTGATGTTAGGAATCTTACCTGACTGAGTAAGGGAGAAGGTCTGCCTTATTGACTAGGAGAATTGTCCTTTTGTGTTTGTCGATTTCCCTTGCGTACGCCTGAAATTTTGGCAGAAGAATTTCTCAATAATATCTGGAAACTAAAACAATGTGCTATTTTGAAATAGTATCTCATAGTTTGATGGATTCATATGTTTGAATAAAGCTTTTTTCAGCACTGGGAAATAGTAAATAAGCAGCACAGCACCGTGAAATTATACTATTCATTTTAAGTATTTCATTATAAAGAGAAAAAATAGATAATAACAAATTTCAAACAGGCAAGTTTAGAATTAAATCTCCAATTTTACCTCAAGATCGGGGCAGCGGTAGAAGAGAGGGTCCCTGGCATCAACAACCATCACAATCTTCCAAAAATACAAATAAAGGGGCAGATCAGTTTCTATAAGGGATGATAAATATTAAATTTAAGTCGAATTGTAGCAAAATTATAGCAGCCACTTTGGGTTTTCTATCCCCATTCTCCAACTAGAAAATTAATTTCTTAGGCATGTCTATTCATTAAATAATAATAATATCATGCCGACTTCTCAAGGAATTCATAACTCTTCTTAGTTAAGTTTCGTAGAACATTGTTCTATGAGGGAATAGATACATCGCAAGGGGTTTCTCTTATACCCTGTAGTAGGGAGGATACTAAGCTAGAGTTTTTAAGAATGCCTAACACAATTCAAAGGTTTCATCCATAGCCGCAGAAGTTGCTTATCAACTCTAGGTAAATAACATCAGAAGGGTTAATAATCAAAAAACTTAACACTAAAGATTCCACTATGTTTAGGCACACAGGAACAGAGCAGCAACCACAAGGAAAAAGGTTCGCAAAATCCTAAACTTCCAACTGGCTTGGAATTGGCCAAAACATAATAGAAACCAAACGAAATCAATTGTTCCCTACATTTATAATCAATTTCTTTTTCCTCTCATTTTTTTTTTTTTNGGACAATGAATCCTTTTCTAAAAAATAAGTAACAATAATCTTGAAAGTAGGCTTTCCACCAATGCAAAGATTATTCATGCTTGCAATTTGGTTTTGACATATTTAGACTGATACGGAGCTGATCTGAGGAAGACCTAAGACTCCAATCAAATAGAAGATTTGGAGTTTGTCAATTTAACAAAAGATCAACATAGAAGATTTGGAGTTTGTCAATTTAACAAAAGATCAACTTCATTTCGGGAAACTTCTCTACGTCCTCAGAAAAAAAAAAATATGAAATATTTCAGAATGGATATATTAATTTCTGAGTTAAAAGGGTAAAATTTCCACAAGGACCTGTGCTACTGTCTTTAAAAGAATGCTTCACTACATCCTCTGAAAGAAATGAAGAGCATGTTTGTTTATGAAAATTTTTGTTTTGTTTGGATTTTTTTGTTTGGTTTGGTTAATTTTGAAAAAAATGGTATGGTTAGTTGTTAGTGGGTATATTAAAATAATTTAAAATAAAATAATTAAAATTGATTTGATGTAATAGTGGGAGAGAGATGATTGAAGTGATGGTTAGTTAAAATAATGTGAGTATATGAATAGTGAATTAAAGTAGATGTGATGTGTAAAAATGATTGGATGATATTATTTAATTATATTAATAATATTGATGATAGTGTGGTTGAGTTAAATTTGAGTTAAAAAAGTGGTTGAGTTAAAATGTTGAATTTTTTTAAAAAATATTCCATAAACAAACACGCTCAAAGTGTTTCAGAATGGATATGACTATTTCTTAGTTTAGAGGGTAAAACCTTCACGAGGACCTATGTTACTGTCCTTAAAAGATTGCTTCACTAAGAGGCTAACATTGCGTACTAAATCAGAAGCACAACATACTTAGATGTTATTTATGTTTTCTCCAAGCCATCAATTGGACACTACGTTCTTGTGCAGAAGTGAAAACAAGTTCCAGACTTTAAAAAAAAAAAAGAAAAAAAAACCACCTAGGAGAGAACAATTAAAATTGACAACAAAAGATCTCTGACGCATTCTTTCTTTGAACATTATGATTTGACATACTTTTTTTGGCCGATTTTTGCACACAGATCTGGAGAGTTTCAAGTCAATTTGGTTTGGGTTTGGATGGGTTCACTGGTTCAGTGAATTTGGATAGGTTAATTACTTAATTTGGTTTCACTTTTTTTTTTTATAATTATTTTGGGTGGGCCAGCCCTCCTAACCCGCGGCCCGTGGCGGTGTTGAGCCGGGCTGCCTTTTTATAGGCCCGTCAGGACAATGAGCCGCCCCGCTGGCCCGTTTTGACATGTCTAAGTGAGGCGATGTCAAAAAAACACTACTTCGATGTTACAAAAATTGTTTAATTTTTTTAATCCCCATAACCTTAATATGCAACTCTCTAAATGTGCCGATAAATTCATTGATAAACCATTTTTGAGATTAATTAACACTCCATATCAAGGTAATCTAGCCTCACGGAAACATAGACATATTGATCTTACCAGATCACTACGTTCAAGCACCCTCCAGAGCTGTCTCCAGATATCTAGATTTTTCTCAAATGGAGTAAGAACTAGTTTCTCATTCTCCTCAAGCCTGCAATGGCAAGAGTAGAAAACAAACTCATCAGTACATCACAGCAAAATGAACAATATTTTATTCCAGAAGCCCGGAGAAATCAAAGAGAATAGCACTAATCAAAAAAAGATATGTTTATATAAACATGAGTAAAAAAAACGTTAGAAGCAAAAATATTATCTCCAAAAAAAAAAACATAACTGGACTTCCGCAAGCTATTTCACATAACCCGTAAAACCTTCGTGTTAGAAATGATAAGAAATGCAAACCATAATCATGAGGTGTTCGGTCACCGAAGAAGGGAGAAGAAAGACCATCAAAACAATGGGCAAGTATCAATGTATATCTTTGGTAGTATGCAGAATCCAAACATATCAAGTACCATATAAATCTAATCCCGAAAGCCTGACCTCGCAAGGCTTCGGCGCCACTCAAGAAAAGCTCGTCTCTCATTATCATCTAGCTCTTCTACTGACATCTTGGAATTCCACGGCGGTCTGGAAACAATTTTTGGAATCATCTTTTCCGTCAACAAAAACCAAAAAGAGAAACAAAAATCAATGCAAAATTATATGACAGCAAACTAATGCCTGCGAGGAATACGAAGGCTGCTGGCATGCAAAGCCTCCTCTTTCTTCTGCTGCTCCCTTTTTTCCTCAGCCGTCATCTCACTAGTGTTGGAAGCAGAGTCCCTGAAACACCCACATTAAACAACACCAAAAGCCTATAATGACAAATCTCACATTAAATGACCTATTCACAACTAACCAGGCAGTTAAGATAATAAAATAACAAAATGGGTTTGCATAACTTCTGTTTGAACACTAAACGCCTGGGGGAAGAAGAATATCTTCTGAAATATAGCAATATAAACTAGATAATAACTTAAGTTTCGAACACCTCTTCTTTACACAGCCCAAAAACTCGAAAAATCTTAGGTTTCATTGCATATATGAATCTGTTCAACGTGCAGGAAAAAAATGAATCATAAATGGAAAAATTAAAACTCTTTCTCTGTCAAAAAACTGAAACACAAAAGGAATTAACAACGGTTAACACAACATATACAAAGAAAGGTAGGAGTGGGCATTTGGGGTCTTACAAATTGATAGGCAAATTTGCAGGCGGGTTTAGGGTTGAGAATAAGCGGTGGGCCTCGTCCGCCTGCTCGATAACAGCGTCAATGTCGCTGACCTCCGTGACCGATTCCAGGAACTTCTTTTGCTGGCTTCTGTAATAATTCCCTTTCTCCTTCGACTGCTGTATCATCTGATTGTGGTGCTTCACCAGAGCCCGGCCAAGACCGGTTTTTTCTCCCTTCGGCATTGTCTAATCGCCTGGAACTTTTGTTCCTTTTCCTGTATTTTATAGGGGAGCTTCTCCGCTACCCGATTGATTGGGGAGGAAATGAGAAATGGAAGCCGTGGCGGCCGTTGAAATATGGTGCGCGGGGGCGGCTCTGCTTGCTTGCCGGTGGTGAGAGATGTGGAAACCTTAAGTTCGCTAACTCGAGTGCGGAACAAAATATTATTCCTTTTTTTTTTTTTTTTTNGTTTGTATCAGAAGGGAGGTCAATATACCACACTTATACTTTTTTTTTTTTGTACTTAAAACCCAATAACATAACCAAAAGAGGACATTAGTCCGATAGAAAAGAAGAGAACCAAATAGGGAAGGAATCACTCCAAACACACGAGGTATGCGACGAGATCGCCCACCTTGCTATGTTGTGAGCTACTCCGTTTTGATCCCTAGCTATATATTCACACCGACCACAATCTAAAAGAAACAAGAGGCCTATAATATCAACAAACACCTCGAACAGAGGGTCAAGCTCATGACGGAGGGAGATACCACTGACAACTATCATGGAGTCCGATAAGGCGGATTGGATGTTATATTCACTGCCCTTATTACTACTTACCCTTCTTTACATTTTTTTCAAAAAATTCAAAAAATTGTAAATTCTCTGAATAGACGACAATTTTCGGCGAAAATGAGCGACCACGAGGTACAAAAATTACGTTGGTCGGCCAGCAATTGAGGCCGTGCATGGTGGCTGCCGGCCACGACAGACACGATATGCAGCCGGTCGATCGCGACGACAACGCGCGCGGCTGCAATTGCCGGCTGACCGATAGCGGTCCGACCAATTTTGTCGGTTGGTTTTTTTTTAATTAGTTAATTATTATTTATTAAATAAATTATCTTCGTAGAAATTATTATGTTACAAATTAGAATATATTATTATGTTCTAAATTAGAATTTGATTATCTTACAATCCACTAGAGTGGTTGTAGCGCTGACGGTGCAATTAGTCTTGACTGATTAGCCATACTAGTACACATTGGTGTATTGAATGGATCCCAGAGAGGAGCAATTCGTTTTGTACTCATTGGCGTAAACGAACTCAGTCTAGGTTAATTACTGCGTTCTCTTAATGTGAATAATCTAACGTGAATGCAATTAACTGTCTGTTTTGGGTAGTAATTCCTACATGACATGGTGTTTTGTTATAATATTTACGGTCACCATGTACTATGCTGAGATTTGATGATGTTCCCGAAGTGAGTTCAGAAGAATTATTGTGTTAAACACTGCAAGCGGATTAAGTTTCGACATAATAATAATGATTGCACGGTGCTAGCTTCGGTTATAGAAGTCGATTAATTTAATTATCAGTAATTAAATAAATTGACGGATATTATATCTTAAACATGGAGAGGTAAATCGTGTATATTATAATGTGGAGGTCAAATCGTAATTTAGAAATTAAATTGGAAGTATTTAAAAAAATACTACTTTAGTGGAATGACTATATTATTCTTATTAGGTTTGGTAAGCTTGGCCTATAGTGTAGTCCTAATAGGAGAAATCTAATTTAATACCTCCTTAGGGTCTCTCTTGGAGCCTATAAATACACCTCTTCTCTAGTCTTGCAAGACATAATACACATTAAAATATCTAAATTTTCCTTCCCAGCAAGGGAGTTCTAGAAGTGTTAGGATATCCAATAGAAGATCCTTAGGTAGTCGAGCACCCGACCACTGTTCGGCTGCCCAACTAACATTGTGATTAGACGATCTCCTCCAAAGGAAATCTACCATGTCTCAGAGTCGACAATAATAATAAACTGTGAGTTTTCTAATTTACCTATAGATCCGCTGCGCATAGATATTTTTCTAGTTAAATTTGTAACTTGCAAATTAGCGACTATCCTTAAATCCCAACACTGGTGTCGTGCATATTTAATCATTTTTTGTTGCTTTTGGCTTTTTGAGAGAAAATATGAATACCGTTTTTNCCTAGTTTTAACGGATTATTTTATTTTATTTTAACTTGTTGGCCAATTATGTATTTTTCCCTTAGTTTGGGTTGCAAACATACCATGGGCTTTACCTATGCTTTCAATCTTGTTTGGGCTCTTTTGATTTGTTGTTTTTGTTTTTCATTTTCACGGGCCAACCCGTCGAGCCCTCGGCCCGCGACGGGGTGGGATGGGCCTGCCTTTTGTAGGCCCGTCTGGATGGCTGCCCGCCTCGCCCTGCCAAATTGCGGGTTACAGCCCCGCCAGCCCGTTTTGACATATCGACATATATAGTGTTCTCACATAAAAATTGATCAATAGTAAAACCACATAATTTTTTATTCATTAAATTATGTTTATGCATTATGTATGATGTAAAAAAAAGCCAAACAAAATCATATATCTTCAATCAACGGAAACCGTTCCCAGTAGCCAGATTATTGATTATACCCGTACAACAATCTATCTTCGGCAATCATCCATCGACATTTGGACCGGCACCTTTGTTTATCTCGGTTGGCCTTATAGGCATCAAATCGGCACCAACGCGAGTCATCATTCCAATGCACGTCACAGTAGAATAAAGTGGTCTTCAGAAAGTTCGCACGAAAGCTCCACTCGATGGCATCGTTCACCCCCAATACATGAAACCCGATATCATCATCTCTCGATCGGCAGTGCACGTCGAGACGCAACCCGTGTTCGAGTCGATTGACCACTTGAACATGAACTTTTGCATCAACAAAACATGATGTGGCCAGAAGTACTAGCACAGCTGTAGTGACAAGAATCTCCTTGTTTATCAAACTCGAATTCATTTCTTAGGAAGTGTGTGTCAAAGGAAGGCGGGTGCAAAATAGATTATATGGTTAACAATTTATACACTTGAAGGCATATGTATATTAATTGTCATGGTTCTTGAGTTGGTGTTATATATTATTGGTTTTTGTCTAATTTGATCGGGTGGTCAAGAAGGTGGATTAACAACCGTCTCTTTTTTATTGTTTTGTTTGCTCGTAGGTTAAAAATGATGATTTGGTTTTCATGATCATGAAAATGTTATACTTGACGGTAGATCAAGGCATGGTCAAAATAATGATGTACGATTAATAATAAAAAAATCTTAAAATTTGGTTATATTTCACTTTATTCAAAATAATAATAATAATAATAATAATAATAATAATAATAATAATAATAAATAAATAAATAAATAAATAAAATCCAAATGTCAAACTTTTTCAAAAGAAATAATAAAAATATTTTATTGGTCCCCATTTGTTTATGCCAATTTTTAATTGTAAACAATAAATCAATTATTGATCATGAATTTATATTTCTGCGATTCATATTCTTAGACATAATTAAATATGTGGTATTAATTGACTTTGAGTGAAAATTAGCTTGTGTAATAATGCTTAGATACAAAATGAGCAAGCCAGACCTATTTATAAATTGACACATCTGGTCCTTACATTGAATTTGCATTGAGTTATCATATACATAATAAGATTATTTCTAATTTCATTTCATTTCATTTCCTTTCCTTCTAGCAAACAGAAAGAAATAGTTGTTTTAGAGTAGTTGGTTTCCACCAGAATGCTTAAAATTATGGAAACTCTCCTCAAATTTTTTATGTATATTGAATGTATCCATATGTTGTATTCAGATCAGTTTTCAATTAAATTCCAAACCACCAAACCCTACAACTAAATTTAATTTCAGTTTCTAACATTTAAGCGCTCCGGTTCGATTATCATTTTTCGGTTTTCAATTTTTTTATTTTTTTTTTTGTGATTTTATTCGATTTTTGAACTAAATCGAGCTTAAATAATAGGATGCTTTGAAGGCCAAGCACTACTTGAAAGAGAAAAAACTTAAAATCGAGTATTTAATGTTGAAAACTTCAATCGATCTACAATACATAATAATAGTTAGTATCTAGTGTTCTAGAAGTCGCTAGGCGTCCGACCAGCGCTTAGACGGGACTCATAAATTAAGATTAAATTGTTGGAATTAGCTTTATGCGAAAACCATCGCTTTATCCCAGGAGCATTCACATGAAATAATCGAGAATACCTATATAGCGGAAGCGTACCTTAAGTAGATTTATCAATTTGATCACCATGGAACATGACTTGTGGATCTATAGATCTGATCACCATCGAACATGACTTGAATCACGAACACAACATCAATCACGGGGTTGGTTTTATGGTTTTCCTCAACTAAATCGCTTTATTCCTCATATGGGACCATCATTCTCAATTCAGATGGGTAGAAAAGAGAACTATGTTTGATTTAATGTATTGGGGACCATAACTAAGAGAGTCTTTATATACTATTAGGGTAGACCACCCATTATCACCTAACCCTAATAATATTAGGTATCCACTCAATCAGCCCATATCAATTTACGTAGCCCATGGACTCTACTTTATTTAGATCACTTAATTGAGTCCATTAATTAATTGAATATCTAATATAATTGTATATAATATGTTGCTCATAATTAGATTATATATAGGAAATAAAATATTTCCTAACAATCTCCCACTTGGGCTACATATTATTTCCACAGCAATTTTATTAATTCCTTAGTTGCGCATCTTTATGCTATTCATTCAGACTACCTTAAACAATCTGGTCCATCTCATATACAAGTAATGGAACTACCGCGGTATTCGCCACATTACAGATCGTGATTAAACCCCGGAAATCACCAAACTAGTATACTCAATGACATAGATCAGATATGGTGAGTGGCATGGAAATTACATGCAATGTGATCTTTAACATGTCTATTTCCAACTGGTCCAACTTTAAATCCTTAGTGAGATCAATCCATGAATGCAACACAAAGTCACAAAAATAGAAAACCTTAGTGATTCATAACGAATCATAACCATCAGCTTTATTCTGCAGAAAACTGAAGTTATAACATTCAAGAATACATTGAACACTAACTGTCACTGAACTAAGGCAATTTCCATAGTAACACTTATATGAGCGATATACTCATAAAATACTTCAAGTGTTAATACCTTAGTATAGCTTATTGACCGCGCGGACACGATCAAAATATAATAATAATTTTTCCTTAACCGACTTCTACCAACTAGCAGTAGTAGTAAGCAAGGGTCGAACACACAAGGAATGTGAATCAAATCGTGAATTTTCTCGTATTAATTGAGTTATAAAAGCAATAAAAGAGGGGGGATTTTGAAATAATATCTAAACAATGCAATAAATTAAAAATAAAATAGAAAAAATAAAGAGAAAATCTAGTTCACGGTTCCGTCTACACCCTCAACCGACTCGTCTAATCAACTATGGTATCAAATCTCGTTATCTTATGAAATTACTAGCCCTAGGCAACGACACAGTCAGTTACCCGCATTTTTTCTTATTTTTAATTTAACCGCGAGACGCTCTACGATTAAACCTGACTTCTTGTACAGTCCAGAAAAATGTTTTCAAGATTTAATACAATTAGCCACTTTACGAACTAGAAAAATAGACTAGACTAATTAGTGAACTCAACCGCGTTCGTTCACTTAATTAGGCCGTGTTATCCCCGTTAGTTACCATCTTCCGGTTACCTCTTATGAATTAAACACAACAACAATTACGGATTGCAGGTCTAATTCAGATGTAGATATGAAAAGCCTAATCTAGGTGATCAATCTAAATAAGACTCAACACATCATGGTTAATTATTCAAAATAACACAAACAATTCCAAAAAGATATTGAAATTATCAACCATATAATCAATCAAACATCGTCAAGTCATAGGGTTCGACATTCCCGGAACTATAAATAAAAATTACTCTAACATAATAAATAAAAAGAAAAAGATAAAAGAGAGAGATTAATTATCTCCCTCGTGTGCGGGTGCGGTCTCCCTCCGCGATTGTTCGGGTGCCTCGCTTATCTGCCGGCTCTTTCTTCCCCTCTGTTCTGTTCGTACGCCTTTTTCTCTGGCTGCGTGGTGGCTGCTCAAATAATCCTCTCCCCCGCGTGAGTGGCTAGGGCGTAAAATGTAATTTTTCCTCCTCAGGTATATCTCGCGTGAATGCCCCGTATGTGACTCACCCAATAAATATATTTTTTGCTAATGAATATACTTTCTTTCCAAATAATTCCTTTCCTCCAAAAAGTGGCTGCGTGTATCTCTGCCAAAGTAAATTTCCTATTCATCTCACTGGGCCACATATTATGCTGTTGGGATAATTCAATTGAGTGGCAACACTTATTTAATTAATCTCTAGCCCAATAAGACTTCTATTTTCACAAGTGCTGGGCCCTATTTCGTACATGGTATAAATGGGTCCAAATACTGGGCTGGTATGGGGTACTGCTAGGTCAGTACGCGGCGCCCCCGTACTGCTCCGGATGAAATTTCTTCCAATGTCACGTTGTCGCCGAAAACACTCCAATATCCTAAAAGCAAACCATAAAAATATCAAAGTACAAGAATCCGTCTAACAAATAAATAAGTCGAAAGACATATAAGTGCGACAAAATTAAGAATATAAAAATACGCTAATAAAATATATAATATACACACTTTTTCCGACCAATCACTTATATTGGAGTTATGAATTTGCTAGCATAAATTCATCCTTATGTGTTCAATAAAAATTCATCAACATGAATTTTATCCTTAGAAACAATAAGAAACTTTATGAACAACTTTTGTTGCTGAAAAATGGCAAACTAATACTATCACAATAGAACTTTAGCAGTATTCAATACCATCCGCAACATGCGGCCTTGTGATAATATTATGCAACCATAAGCTTATAAGATGTCTTTAGATAAGCTAAATCTCAATTGCTAAAGAGGAATACACTATAAGTGTCTGCTTGGCACTTTCCGAATTAGTTCTTCCAACTAGCAGATAATGTAGCTTGACTTAAATTTGGATCGTTCAACCTTACAGACATCCAATAAACTCGAAACTAGAGTTCCAAATGATCTCCCAAATGATCCAATAATCCTTAAGTGAGTATAAACTCTCTTTTATTCTCAAAAAAAACTTTATAAACCATTTGGCTGCATTCAATAGGTTAATAATCAAGATTCAATCATTTCTCAAACAATCAAATGTATGTGGAATCCAAATGTATACATTTTTTAAAATACAAAAGATTACCAACCATATGTATATCTTTTGTCTATCCTAAACTTTATACTCATTCTTGGGACAATGAATGAGATAGATAAATCTATTGTCCTTAGAGTATCTCCCAATCAGTCTATAGTATATACAGTTATTAACTTTATTTATCTCGATAAAAATGAGATAATGACTTAATATAATCGTAATACCATAGAGGGAGTTACCTTAATATCAAAAGTTTCAAAATGACATAGATTACAAAACGTTTCTCATCAAAACCAAAAGAAAAACCTCTTGTAACCAAAGTCCTTATTTAGATGAAATTTATGTTAACTAGACATACCTTATGTCTCTCATTATTGTCTTATGAATCCATTAAGCCACTTTATGACCAATGAGACTCATACTTTTAGACAATTTGACAAAACCTCAAAATGTCAATTCACACATAATTTCATCGAAGCTTTAATATACTTATTTGAGGTGGTTGAGTTTGCATTTTGGGACCATATTTGCATTCCTAACAAAATGCTTTATAAGCTTATCTCCCACTCAAGCTCAACTCCTCAAATTAACTTTAAATTCATTATTAAAAAGTCTTATAAAATTTTGAACGAGTAGTTACCCACAATCTTTAGTCCAAATTTACTTATAGACATGAAAGTCTTACCTTAGTTGGACAACCCCAAGT